TGAATTGGATTTAAGTGAGGGCAGAGATGCGCAAAGTCATCAGCCTCACTCTCCCAGAGTGCAATGGCTGGACAAAAGCCAGAATGACTGGCGATGGCCCGGGACGCATCTTCGATGCCTGACCAAACTATAACGGCTCCACAGCACCTGCTTCAGCTGCCTTCCTAGCCGTTGGAACAAATTGCTCTCATCTGCCTATTCCACCGGGGAGCTCTTCACGTGCTTGGGAGTAGACACCCCCTCCCAACTCACCGACGGGGTTGAGGCCCATCTGCTACCCTCAACCTGGCCTCAGTAAAAGCATAGAGCTGGAAGGTGGACAAGTGGGTTAGAGCGGAACAAACTAAGCACTACGTGAGGTCTGAGGGGGAAGGCTGTCACAGCCTAGAGGGATCAGCACTAAAGCTTTCCCAGAGGAGCTGGCTTTGATGCCCCTCACGTTGCTGTCTTTCTGCCTGCCCTCCCCCAACTCCTGAGGACCTTCAACCCACAGAGAAACAAAGTACACCTCAATTTGAAAGCAGCAGACTGGTGTTTTGAGGGGTGAGATTTCCTGGGGACCCCAACCAGGTCCCATCCCACTGCTGTTAGGCATCAGCCTAGTGGAAGGGGGTAGGAGAACCCCAGAAAAGAAAAAACCCTTCCCTCCCACGCTCTTGCTCTTTCCTTACACCAAGTATGGGAGACGCAGGTGGTCCCCACCCTTCCAGACAGGATGTAGTCCAGGATTTCAGCACCTGAATCTTCCCAGCCCACACAGCTTTTCCATTTGTTGGCATTTCATTTGTTTAATGAGTCCAGATTATCGGGGGGGGGGGGTCGAGAGGATGGGAAGGGATCTGTCTTTTGTTATAATACATTTAATTACTACCTTTCTCCCTCCCCAAATCTCTAATTCAGTGCTGGAAAAAAAAAACAGAAAAAAAGATATTGTAGAAAGAAAAATAAACACTTAGGAGGAACATAGCCAAATATTTGAAGGGCTACCATGTGGAAGAATGATTACATTTGTTCTGTTTAACCCTAGAGGGTTCAAATCCTGCTTCTGACACTTACCTATAAAAGCCTGGGCAAACCATTCTGGAAAACGATTTAGAACTATGTCCTAACAGGTAACCTGCGCATAAGCTTTGACCCAATGATAGCACTGCTACTTGCATACCTCCAAAGAGAGGAAAATGACCTCTATGTATAAAAATGCTTATAGCAGCTCTTTTTGTAGTAGCAGAAACCTGGAAACTAAAGGGATGCCCATCTGTTAGGGAATGGCTAAACAAATTAAGGAATGCCATTGTGCTATAAGAAATGACAAAAGAGGTAGTTTCAGAGACACCTGGGAAGATTTGTATGAACAGATACAAAGTAAAGTGAGTAGAACCAGGAGAATAATTCATACTAATAACAATATTGTAAAAACAAACAACTTTGAAATAGTTAAGAATGGTGACCAATATCACGAGCAGCCATGATTTCAGACAACTGATGAGAAAGAATGCTACCCATCTCTGAACAGAGAGGCAATTGACTCAACATGCAGAATGAAATTTTATTTTTGAATACCGCCAATGTGGGAATTAGTTTCCCTGTATATTTTGTAGATCTGTCTTTTGTTTGCTTATATATTTGTTACAAGGGTTTTTGTTAGTGTTTCTCTTTTTCTTTATTTCAGTAGGTGGGAGAAGAGATTAAATCTTGGACAAATCATTTCTCTCCAGGCCTCAGTTTCCTCATCCAAAAAATAAAGGGGTCAGACTAAGGGGTCCCTTCTAGTCTATGGAATTCTATGACTGATCCTATCAACCAGAAACAATGGGTAAACATCAAAGGGAAGCAGATTTTGGCTCAATTCAAGGAAAAAGTTCTCAACAACCAGAGCTGTCACAAACTGGGGAAGACTTGTACGAACTGGTATAGAGTAAGGTCAGCAGCACTGGAAGAACAATCCACACAAAGATGATGATACGTGAAAAGGAAAAAAACATTAAAGGCCTTCAAAACTCTTGTCAATGCAGTGATCACTCGTGATTTCAAGAGGCTGATAGTGCAGTATGCCTCCCACCCCTCAGCAGAGAGCTGGTAGTCGAGAAACAGTAGGAGGCATACATATGCGGGCAAGACCAACCTGCTGGTGTGTTTTGTTCCACCATTTTTATTTGTTATAAGGAGAGGGTTCTAAAGAGGTAGGTGAGTCGGGAATCAATTGATCAATTATTTAATTAAGCTAGTATTTATATAGTACTTCAAGGATTGCAAAGTATTTTATATATCATTTCATTTGATCTCCACAATAACCCTGTGAGGTAGGGGCTATTATTGTCCCAATTTTACACCAGAGAAAACTGAGGCATAAAAGGTTAAATGACTTGCCCAGGATCATCTAGCTAATACAGACACTGAGCCAGTATCTGAGGCAAAATTGGGACTCAGGCCTACCTAACTCCAAGTTCAGTGGCCTATTTATTTAACTGTCCCTCTAACAGTGAAAGAAAAAAAGAGAGAGGAAGGAAAGAAAAAAAAGAGAGGAAGGAAGGGAGGAAGGAAGGAAGGAAGGAAGAGAGGGAGGGAGGAAGGAAAATCAATAAAACATGTTTAATAAAAAAAAATAATAATAATAATAAAACTGTCCACTGGTGAAATGGGCTGCCTCTGGAGGGTAGGTCACGAATTCCTAGACACTTGGAAGTCTTCAAGTAAGAAGCTGAATGGCTGCCTATTAAGGCTATTGAAAAGATTCTTCCCCTACAAGAGAACAAAGTTGGACTAGATGCTTTCTGAGGCCCCCTCCCACTCTGAGATTGGATCCAGAGCCCTATGGAGCTGTCCCCAGTCAGGACTGATGAGGAAAGGCCAGATAGGGGAAACAGTGTGGGTTGGAGGTCCAGACTTCTGGATTACACTCTCAGTTCTGCCCACCTCACCCCCATGCCTTCCCTCTATGGCTTATGGAGCTCAGCATCTACCCTGGCAGAGGAGTGAAATCCTCCACAGAGTAGGAGGAGCTGGGTCCTCCAAGCAGTGCCAAGCAGCTATGAAGGAAGTTTGGGTGAGGCGTTTTTTCCAAGGTAACAGGGAAGGGGGGGGGAGCATGGATAAATTGCTCCCAATACTCTCTTCCCTGTCTCTCCCAGGGCCCAGCTTGGTAGGAGAGGTGGGCTAAGACCACCACAAAAGCCTCTCTCCCAAGCATCTATGGTAAGAGACCTCCAGCAGGCCTGTGACTGGGACAGGGAGGAAGGATTTCCCCAGGGGCCAACAAGTCTTACTTGGGGGGGGGGCCAAAGAGGAGGGTCTAATTGTCCTGGAGATGGAAGCAGCAGGAGTTGGAGGCCCTGACACTAGGCCCAGGATGGAGATGCTTTGAGATAGAGAAGAAGAAAGAGAAGTTGCCCAGGTGAAATTATTACCTGTAATTATCTCTAATTCTGGCTCGATGCTGACTCAGTCCCCTGGAGCCAGAGCAATGACCTCCAGGGAAGAAAAGCCTGCCCAGTGTCCAAGGCTCAGACACCTCTCCCAGGAAGGGACCTAACCTGGGCACAGGTCATCTTCAGTGCCCAAGAGGATGGCTGCTCTGGCAATCCCTTCCCCAGCCCCCAAAGAAGTCCCAAGCCAGGTCAAGCATGATCTTTCCCATTCACCCCCCTCTGAGCCTCAGGACCCCAAAGGGGTCCAAGGACAACTCCTTGGAGGGAACAGGTAGGGCTGGAGCCCTGCCCTACCCCACCCTCTATTATGCCAACTAAACTGTGACTAAGCTCAAGGCCAGGCAGGGGGCTCCTTCCAGAAAAACATCTCAGCCAGCAACCTTTGAACCTCACAATCTCAAGTAGGTGGAGAGTTGGAAGGGTTATGAACCACTTCTATGAGGCTGAGATTTCTGGGCGGGAAACAGTGGAGATATTGCCTGGGGAAATCATTGGGGAACTAGGGAAGCCAGCCTGCCCTGAGGCTCTGGAGAAGGCTCAGAAATATAGATAGATATAGATAAAGCCAGCTTTATCATACACATCAGGCCACAGGAAGGACCAGGTAGGACTCCTGAGAGAAGGGCCAAAACCCCTGCAAGAGGGACTGGGAAACCCCTGAGAGAAGACCTCCCAGATCCGATCCCCAAGGGACTGGCTGGGGACCTCTGAAAGAGGATGTAAGGAACTACTGAGGGAGACACTGGGGACCCCCCAGAACAAAATGCCTGAAGCCCCTGGGATGGGTTACCTCAGATGGAGGAGAAGAGGCGGCAAGTACCAAAGCCAGCACCGGAAAAAGTGATCAGTTCAAGTCAGGGGCCTTGGCTTCCCATCCAACTTCAAACACTTCCTAGCTACGTGATGGTGGACAAGTCATTTTAATTGAGTTCTTATCTGGAAAATGGGGATAATAATTTTGCATCACTGGCCTCAAAGGGCTGTGGTGAGGAAAGCCACTGCAAACTTGAAAATGCTTTGTGAATATGCATAATTATGATAAGCACGGTAAGAGGAATGGAAGGGCCATCTCCCTCCCTACAGGAGAGAAGTGAAGGACTGAGGTTGCAGACTGCTGCATACACTGTCAGACATCGCTTGGGTGTCTGCTGGGTTTGCTTTTGTTTATTACAAGGGAGGGCTCACTGCTTGGGGGGTGGGATGGGGATGGATCACATGACTGTGACTTAAAACCAAAAAGTATCAATAATTTTTTTCTTCCTTTTTAAGGGGCTAAAGGTCTAAACTGGGTATGTCTCAACGTCCTAGGGAGGGAGGGAGGGAGCTCGGATGTCCATTCCTAGTAGAGAGATGACCCCAGGTGGGGCTTCCTTACTTAGAAACTCCCTCCCCATCATCTGCACCCCCAGGTTGTGAGGGTCCCAGCCTGTGTTTTCCCTCATGCCCATCAGCTTGTTACTACCTTGGGCTTGCCTCTCAACTGGGCAGGGCAGATCAACCCCGCCCAGAGGAGGAGGGTGTGAGCAGGCTAAGAGAGAGAGGAAGGTGGGCGGGGAGCAAGCACTTGTCTAAGTTTGTCCCTCACTTGCCTCCCTGCAGGGTTTGGAAGCCGAGGAGCTGGTGGGTAAGTGCTACCTTTGGGATTGAGGGGGTTTAGAGACATTGTCTTGGGAGCAGTCATCAGCTGAGCCCAAGGGGGCAAGGACACTGTCCCTGGCCCCTTTTTTCCCCCTCTAAAAAAAGTGGCCTGATTAGGAGATAGCTTCTGGGCTAGGGCTGGTTGAGGGGATCCTGTTCTCCCAGTCCATTGGGGAGATGGGAGCAGAAGCCTCAGAGAACTCAGAGCGTCAAGGGCCAGGGGCCAGTTCTTTGCTTTTTAGTCCTTCTGGGAAGCACCAGGTCTCCATGCTTCAGACTGCAGGGAATGGGGATAGGGAAAGGGATGAGGATGGGGATGGGGCAGAGGGTGGGGAGAAGGAAGGAAGTGGTGCAAGCAAGGAACGAAAGAGGAAAGATAGGAAGAAAGCGGGAAGAAGGCAAAGTGGTTCCCCCAAAGCCAGGGAAGTGCTATGGGATTCAGGCTCCTGCTCTTCCCTCCCTGAAGAAAGGGGAGCCTAGGTACTAATCTCTCAAGCGGGTGGTAGGACATGTGCTGTGAGCCAGAGTTGCCATGCTTGGGGCTAGGGCTGAACTCCAGCCCCTTCACAGAGCTCAGTGCCTTGTCCCATACCTAACTAGGATCCAGGACAGAGTAAGTCCAGCATTCTTGTTGGTCTGTCGGACAACCCCATCCCTTACATGTTAGCCAAAGCCCAGTGTCTTCCATACCACCCACCACTCCTGCCCACAACAGCTCAGTCAAGGGAGTCGGGAGCTCAGAACCTGCTCCTCCAGTCCCTGGTAGGGGTTGTAACCTTACTCCGCACCTCTCCTCCCCAACCTCCCACCTTCTGCTTGAGGGAGGGTAAGCCCTGCCTGCTCCTCGCCCTCCGTCCAGCCAAGGAATTCCTTCCCGATGAATGTGGCCTCTAAGTGATTCAGTGTTGGGGATTGTGAAGGGGGTTGGGGGGTAGTAGTAAGGGTGGGGTCTATAAGTCAGGAAGGTGGTAGGGGCTACTGAGGAGTCCACCTTTTCAGGGACAGCCCTTTGGGACCAAACCACACCAGCAAGGAATGAGGGACCATGAAATAAGTATATAATCAAAATAGTGCAGAACCAGCCCCATTCACCTTAAGGTTCAGTGACTTACTCAAGGTCACAGGGAGGAGTGACAAGCAGAACTTGGGATTATGTAGTGACTCCCACTCTGATCCACCGTTCTCCTAACAGACCTCTTTTCAAGGTGCGCTCTGCTGGTGGGATGATGGGAAGTGCTAATGAATATTCATATCTCTAGGATAATAGATGTAAAGGGAAAAGGGATCTCAGAGACATATGAAAGGTCCAACTTTCTCATTTCACAAATGAGGAAACTGAGTCCCAGAAAGGTTAATTCCAACCCAGGGCATAAGTATCAGAGCCAGGTTTTGATCAGGTTATCTGATGCCAAAGCCACTGTTCTTTACATTGTACCATGTTCTACAAGGGTGCCTGCTCAGGGATCACATCTCAGAGCTAAATCTCAAGAGGGGCAAACAGCCACTGACCTACAGTGCCACGTGCAGGAAATGAAACTTGAGGGCCATGTGGCCAAAGAGCACATACCTGGGGGAAGAGGGGAAGTAGGAGGGGATGTGGAAGATAAGCACAAAGCTGGCTAAAGGAGACAAGGGACTGGGAAGAAAAGAAAGGTCTGAAGCAACCTTGACTCATGCTTCAGGGGAAAAGGAGAAGTTGGCTCCCCCAACCTCATCATCTCAATCCCTCCTGCTCCTAGAAGGGGAGGAAGGGTTTTCCCAAAAAAAAAAAATCCTCAAGGGGGATTTGTTCCCATTGGAAGAGTGTTCCTCAAACTTCTATTACCAAAGGACCCTAGGATCACAGATCTAGAGCTGGGAGTGATCGGAGAGGCCATCATGTCCAACCCCCTCATTTTACAGATAAGGAAACTGAGGCCTGTTGTGGTTAAGGGTCTTGCCCAAAGTTGGACACAGGCAGGCACAGCCAGGATTCAAACCCCTGGCCTCTAATCCCAAAGCCAGTATTCTTTCCCCTGCCCCATAATGCCTGCCAGTGCCACCTCACACACCCCCACACACCCCCACATACCCCATCCCCCACAGTGCACACAAGCACCTCATACATGACACACCACACAGTGCACAACTGAGCCCAGACACACATTAGACAACACATACCATACTCTCTAGGCACACATCACCCCCCCCACACATACATATACATATATACCTTTTCAGGAAAAGCACCTTCAGGATGTCCCACAGCTGAACCCTCACAAGCATGCATACACAGGTGCATGCAGATTCACAAGCATACACCCAGATATAGATGTGCACTGGTTCATGGATTCATGTGTAATTGCACATGATGGGGGTAACACAAGGCTATCCACTCACCCAGACACAAACATCCTTGGACACTCCAGTATTAGGCTGGTGACGTTGCACAGCCCTCCCTCATTTGAATCCAATTCACTTGCAAGTCATGGCATCATCTTCCTGATGTCATGGTCCTCTTCGAGAAAGAAGGACAAACCACACAACAACAATTAGTGCATTGGGTGAAGCCTTGTCACATGAAACCCTGCAGTCCCGGATCAGTTTCTGTCCCTATCAAGCCATAGCTTCCAGCCAGAGAAAAGGAATAAAGCCTTTCTTAGGTGGGAGCCTTCAGAAACCCAGAGCCCTCTAAGCTCATGCCCTGAGGCCAAACCAAGCCTGTCCCTCCCCCGCTGCTCTATCCCCAAAGGAGAGGCCTGCGCTTAGGCTTCCCTGCGCAGTCCCACCTTGAACCTCTCTGGTCCTTGCCCCTCACAGGTGGGCCCGGCGCCCCCACAGCCCAGGAGCCATGGACTGGAAGACCCTGCAGTCGCTCCTGAGCGGAGTCAACAAGTACTCCACGGCTTTCAGCCGTATCTGGCTCTCGGTGGTCTTCGTCTTCCGTGTGCTGGTGTACGTGGTGGCGGCGGAGCGCGTGTGGGGGGATGAGCAGAAGGACTTTGACTGTAACACGCGCCAGCCGGGCTGCACCAACGTCTGCTACGACCACTTCTTCCCCATCTCCAACATCCGCCTGTGGGCTCTGCAGCTCATCTTCGTCACCTGCCCCTCGCTGCTGGTCATCATGCACGTAGCCTACCGGGAGGAGCGGGAGCGGCGACACCGAGAGAAGCACGGGGACAAATGTGCCCGGCTCTATGACAATGCTGGCAAGAAGCATGGCGGTCTCTGGTGGACCTACCTGTTAAGCCTCTTCTTCAAGTTCAGCGTGGAAATCATCTTCCTCTACATTCTGCATACGCTGTGGTACGGCTTTTCCTTCCCCCGCCTGGTGCAATGTGCCGGAGTGAGCCCCTGCCCCAACACCGTGGACTGCTACATCGCCAGGCCCACGGAGAAGAAGGTCTTCACTTACTTCATGGTGGGGGCCTCGGCCATCTGCATCATCCTAACCATCTGTGAGATCTGTTACCTTATCTGTCAGAGGATATCTAGAACCGTGGGCAAAGTCAAGGGCAAGGGAGCTGCTCTGCACTCCCCCTCCTCCAGCAGGGCATCCACCTGCCGCTGCCACCACGTGCTGCCATCTCATGGGGGCGAGGAGGGCATAAGCCTCGGCAAGGGGGCAGAGGCACTTCGGGCATCTGCCCCTAACCTGACTCTCATCTGACCAGGCAAGGAGCCTGGGACTGCCTGGGTTGGCTGGATTGTGCTGAGCAGGGCAAGATCAACCCATCTTCATGACTCCCATGGCTCTTATTCCTCTGGCCCCAGGGGCTGGGAGAGTCAACATGAGAGAATGAGGGTGGAGGACAGGGCTTGGGAACATTCACAGAGCAGAGGGTCCTGAGGAAGTGGATCGTCTTTGGGAGATAGCCCTCCTCTGGAGGCCTCAGCAAAGATCAGTGGAGGGAGAGAGGGTTGGTGGCTAGAGAGGGGAAGGTGGCTATTGTATCTAGTAGCTTTACCCAGTTCTATCCCTAACCCCATACCTTACAACTAGGGGCTGGGACAGGGGCAGATTAAGAGAGGCTACAGAACCAGATCAGAGTAATCCTCTACTTTCCATAACCAGGGCTAAGTTCTATGGGTGGTGCTCAGGGGGCCTGGCTGTCTGTCCTGTGGCTCCCCCAAGGAGCCAGCAGGGAGACGTTTGCAAAGCTGGGCCCTTCTCCCAAACCACAGGTCACAGGACCATCATCTAAGAGCTCAAAGTAGCCCACAAGGTTGCAGGTAATGTCAGCAGGCCACAAAGACTGAAGTGAGATTAGGCAAACCAGACTAAAGACATCCAGTAAGGACACTTTGCCAGTATCCAGGGGCTCAGGCTATAGCCGCTCCCTCCAAGTCCAATCTGGTTCACTTTCACCCTTGCCCTCCAGAAAAATCCCTCCCTCCATGTTGAAGAGACATGCTTCCTTTCCCCTGCCCCCAGCCTCTGGAAGAAATCTCTAAGCTCAGGGCTATTGAAGGTTTTGTTCCCAGGCCCAACAATTGAGTCCCCATTCTGAAGCCTGGGGGCAGACTTACTAGGAATGCAGGTTTAAGGAATTTACTCACCCTTGCATCTGCCCTGAACCAAGGTTGAAGGCCTGAAGCCCACTGGATATCAATAGGTGAGAACGGAAAGAAGGAGATGATCCCCTCCTGGAATTCAATAAATGTTGGGGGTTTTTTCTATAATCATAAGGTCACAGGGCTCCTCCAATCCTCGCGGGCAGGGAGACCTTGTAAATGTTGAGGAGGAGGGATGAGGATGTAGGAATGGGGTACAGGGATAGGGGATGAGGGGATGGGGATGTGGGGTGAGCAGATAGGGCTGAGTGGGACAGAGACAGTGGGAATGAAGGATGTGGGGATTGAGGCTATGGAAAAAGGGGATATAGAGATGAGACCATGTTATTATTATGAGAACAACAGACTTGTAAGGATGGGGAACATAGACATGTGAGAATGGGGGAATGGGGAAGAGGGACTGCTGGTTGTGAGAATGAGGCTATAATAATAATAATAATAATAGCTGACATTTAAATAATATCTTAAGGTTTTCAAAGAGATTGTAATACATTATCTCATTTGTCATAAATGCTAGCGCTTATACAATGCTTTAAGCTCTTTGCAAATATCAATTCATTTTATCCTCTCAATAACCCTGGGAGTCAAGCACTATGATTATGCCCATTTTACAGATGAGAGAACTAAGGCAGATGTGAAATGACTTACCAAAACTATCTGAAGTTGTACTTGAACTCAGGCCTTCCTAACTCCAAATGCAGGGTTGCATCCATTGTGCCACCTATAAGCTGCCTCTCTAGGAGGCTGCAGGGATGGAAGATATGGCAATAAGGTCTGTGGGCCAGTGGGAATGAGGGCTGTGAAGATAGGGAATGTGGAACAAGCCAATTACAGACCCTGATTCCCTCAGTTTTCCAGGAGAGGGCACCATGACCAAAGTTCTATGTCTATGAGCTTCCAAATAAATACACAGCATACAAATGGGAGAATTTGGGGAAACCATATGCAAAAGTAAACAAACCCACCCTGCAACTTTATGCCCACAGACTCACCCAGAGACACAATCACTCCACCACCACATACACACTCACCAGCAGAGACACTCAATCACACACACAATTCGTTTAATTAAACAACTGCCACTCAGAATCCCAGGGACTAGGGGGGGAAATATCAGAGCTAGGAGATCCCTTAAAAATCTTCCAGTTCCTCATTGAAGAGATGAGGAAACTGGGACCCAAAGCTTCCCATCAGATGTGGAAGGATAGATAGATAGATAGATAGATAGATAGATAGATAGATAGATAGATAGATAGATATGGATGAATTAGATGTTAAAAGAGCACTGGATTTGGAACACAAGTCATGGCTTACGCTATGTGTCACTGGGGAAATCCCTGACCTCTCTGGTTCTCAGTTTCATAGAATCACCGAATCCTAGCATTGGAAAGGATTTCAATGTCCATCAGTCCAACTGATATCTGAAAAAGACCACCCTTTACAACTTCCCCAAATGTCTATCCAGCCCTTTCATTAAAAGGTCCAATAAGGGGGAACCAACTATGTAACAAGGCAGCCCCCTGCACCCTTAGGAAATGTCTCCTCATATCAAGCCTACATTTGCCTCTTTGCTACTTCTGCCCACTGATCTAGAATCTGATCTCAGACCAATCAAAGCAAGTGTGATCCCTCTTCCACCTGACAGTCCTTCCAATACTTGGAGACAGTTCTCATGAGCCTTCTCTTCTCCAGGCTATGGATTCCTTCAATGGATCCTCATGTCCTGACCTGAGGGCCCTTCACCACGCTTGTCGCCATCCTCTGGGTGCTCTCCACTGCACAGTCATAAATTGTAAAATGTGGTGATTAGAATCGATCTCTACTCCTGGCCTGACTCAGGCGGTGTATAACAGGATTATTCCTTATTCTTTGAAGCTGTGCCTCTCAATGCAGCCGAAGCCATCAAAAGAAAGGGTTGGACTGGACGGCCTTTGAGGTCCCTTCCAGCTCTGAGTCCTATGAGCCTAGGACCTATGGAGAGAAGATTTCTGTATAATGAGGAGAGCAGGATAGGGACCAAAGCTGTGCTGTCACTGACATACAGATCCCCTAGATAAGGAAACTCTATACCTATGTAGGTCACCCCCTTCTCTGCAGCTTACAGAGCCACCCAGAGTTCTGAGGGGTTAAGTGATTTGGCCAGGGCCACATCGCTCATATGTGTCAGAGAACAGATTTGGTCTTCCTGGCTCTAAGGTCAGTCCTCTAGCCACCACGCCACACTATCTCTCGTCACAGGGAGTCCAACCAGCACAAAAATCCTCCTTAAACAAAACCCTAGTCTCCTACCACCCTCCCTCTACACTGTCAGGCACACAGCCAGTCATGTACAGGGAAGCCCAATGACAGACAGTGTCTCTAAAGTTCAAGCATATGTACAATCACACCCTTTTCTTATGCACGATGACACCCGGGGCATTCTCACATGGTTTCACTCCCAGATGCATGCAGTCTCTCTCCTACCCGTCAGCTCTCCTCATATTCATATCCCCTCTGTCATGCTGATTCACATGCTCTGCCACACACAGGCCTTCTCACTCACTCACTTTTGACTCACACAGTATTCATCCATCCCTCTCTCTTAGGAAAGCTGATCTACCCCACTCCCTTAACCGTGGGAATTCAGCCCAAGCCTCTGGCTTTCTCCTTCAGAACCCTGAAATCCATGCACTAAGGTACAGGATGCCCTAGAAGAGACAGAGTAAGGCCTGTATATAATCATTCTGGGGGCAAGGAATGGGTTTATGCCAGGAAGGTGCTGCTGTACCTTGAGGGAAGAATCAGGAGGGGGAAAGCCTCCTTCAGATCCAGCTTAGGGACCAACCTGCTCCCAACACAGATCAGGTCCCAGTCACTCAAGAAGCATTTATTAAGCACCTACTATATGCTAGATATTGTGCTAAGCACGGAGGATACAAAGAAAAACAAAAGACAGACCCCAGCTCAGGGAGCTCACAGTCTAACATACAAACTATGTACGTACAAACAGGTTAAATAGTAACATTTACATAACACCTTAACGCCTGTGAAACACTTTGTATTCAGTATTGCATTGAAGCCTGTAAGGTAATCCATGTTCACAGTGTCTAAAACATGATTTGAACCCAGATCTTCTTGACTTCTAAATCTATTCTGCCATAATAGATGCTCAATAAATGTTTGGAAGGACTTAGGTAGATGTGGATAGGGAGGATTCCATGGAGTAATTCCAGTGAGTATTTTTAAGCCCTGGGTTCAACTTCCACCTCCAACAGTTGCTAGGCATATGGTCATGAATAAGTCACTGATTGCTTCTGTTCCTCAAGTCTCCCATCTATAAAATGGGAACAATATCAGTAGCATCCACCTCACATGGTGGGTGTTAGGCTCAAACAAGATGTTTATGCAGAGCACATTGCAAACTTTAAAGCCGCTATCAGTGTCAGCTGTTATTATTTATTAAAAAGATGCTTAGCTCTACAACAGATCCACAGACTAGGGAAATCAAGAGGGCCTTTAGTCTAGCCCCTTCATTGTACACAGCAAGGAAACGGAGACCTATGAAGACAAAGGAAGTTGCCTGGGAGTTAAACAGGGAGCCAGCCAGGACAAGAACCGGGATCTCCTGACTCCTGGCACAGGGGTCCTTCAGATACAGACACCACTAGGATGCTGCTGCCCTTATCTTGTCCCTCCCCAGACTCTCCCCTCTTCCTATCTTCCCCAGATGTACCACCATCCTTTTAATCTACCATCTCAGCACTGAGTTGTAACCTCAGCATCATCCTGGACTCCTCCTCACTCCACAAACCCACACAGGTACCAGACCCTGCTGTTTCTGCCTTCACAGAATCCCTTGCATCCCCACCCCACCTTCACCACATTCGCTCAGAAAACCCTCCTCGCTCCTCACCTGGATTATTACAAAGGCTCCATCCTAATCGGGGTCCCTGCCTCAAGTCTTTCCCCACTCCAGCCTGCTCTGCATGCTGCTGCCAAGTTAATTAATTTTCTTCAAGTACACATCTAACCATTGACTCTCCTACTCAATTAACTGCTGTGCCTTTAGAGTCAAATACAAACTCTACACACCCTGGCCCCGACCTACCTTTCCAGACTCACTGGACATTGCTCCCCCTCCCACACTCCTCAATCTTGCCAAAGTGGCCTCTCCTCTGTTCCTCATACACAACACTCCATCATCTCCCATCTCCACACCTTTGCATTGGCCCCATGCCTGGAAGATGCTACCTCTTTACCTCTGCCTCTGAGTCCCTATCTTCCCTTAATATTCCCATTAGATCGTTAACTCCTTGAGGACAGGAACTCTCTTTTCCCTCCTTTTGTATCCTCAGTACTTAACATACAGTGCCTGGCACATAATAGATGCTTAATAAATGTTCACTGATTGACTGATTGATAAGGTGCAGCTCAGGCACCGTCTTCTGCCTGAAGCTTTTTTTTATTCCCCCTGTAGCTACTAGTGTGGTCCTTCCCAAACTGCCTTTTATCTAACTACTTTGTATACATTTATGTTTATTCACTTTATATTTATACTATATATATGTATTATAGACACTTTTTCCCCCATTAAAATATTAGCTCCTTGCAAGTATGAATTGCTTCATTCTTTATTTCCCCAGCACCTAGTACAGTGTTTGACCCATGGTAGGCTCTTAATAAATTCAATTGATATGGTCTATAAACATTTGGCTTTCAGAAACTATGAACTGTATAATGGGAGAGGGTCACAGATGAACAAAACAAGGGATTAGGATCATAAACCCAAAGCTGGAAAGGATGATTCTAAGAGGCCGTCTCAACCCACTTCCTTATTATCTGTTTTTATTTTTTAATTAAATTTTATTTTATTTTCATATCTGCCTTGTCTCCCTTCTGTCGCCTCCAATCCCCTACTGGAAAAAAGCAAGAAAAACAAAACCTCTGTTATAAATTTGTACATTCAAGCAAAACAAATAATCACATTGGCCTTGTGCAAAGATAGATAGATAGACAGATAGATAGATAGATAGACAGACAGACAGACAGACAGACAGACAGACAGATAGATAGATAGATAGATAGATAGATAGATAGATAGATCGACAGATAGATAGATAATGTGTCTCAGTCTGTACTCTGAGTCTATCATCTCCCTAACAGGAGAATCTACTTCTTTTGATAGATAAGAAAACTGGAGCCCAGGGAGATTAGCTAAAA